ATGTGCTATGCCATGGGGGTCCGCGTGCCCATGCTGTTTCCTGACTTCAAATCCGGGTGGAATTTGTCCTGGAAGTCTGCAAGAGCCTTTACTTTTTTCGGCCAGCCGTGTGTAGAAATATCTCCGTTCATGGGCTTTCGCAACCACTTCCAGTATCAAAGCAAGCCTATTGCCATAAACACCACAATATTCCGTGTCCAAAAAACGGGAAAAAAGACCAACACCCACCAAACGATTGCCAGAATTACCACATGTTTGTCTTGTCCAGGTAAAAGAAAGACGCACCAAATGGTTGCCAGGACTACTGCAATTTGTCTTGTCCAAAATGAAAAAAACAAAAACCACACAAAAGGATTGCCATCATAGGTGTCCTTTGTGGAAAATAGATTGCCCTGGTAGATGATTGAACCACCAGGTAAACCAGGGCCTTCTATTTGTTTAAGCAAACCTACCAAGAAGGACATCTGTTGACATCTGTTGACAACACCTGGTGATATGACTGAAACTGTTAAAAAAGAAAAAACATATGCGCCTTTGTGAGTGTCTCCAGGCATTTCACACTAGTTTCACTCTTCGCAAGACTTATCAGTGGCATCCCTGGAGATTTGGGTCAGTTCAGGGCCCGCTGGGATGGCCAGCGGCCAGCGGCTTCGCGGTGCGGCGCTGGCAGCGCAGCACTGCGAGGTCGCAGTCGGGCTCGGAGCCCACGAGCACGGCCTCCTGAGATGAGCTCGAGCTGGGGGGAGCTGGGGGAGCCGGGGGGAAGAGGAACATGGAGTTGGTGTTTCTTGTTCTTTTCTCTTTTTTTTTTTTGGGGGGGGGGGGGGTGAATCATTTGGTGTTTCTCTTTTTGTGTAAAGGAAAATTGGGGCGGGGGGGACATTTGTGTGAACATCTTAGATGTTTGAAAGATGTTGGGATTATCAAAACAACTCATTCAAGAGGCATAAGTTAGCCTCATGGGGCCTTTCCACAGATGACTCTGGGCTGGGAATATGGGGGGACATCGGCAAAAGGGGAAGAACCCAACGACCATGTCGGGGGTTGGATCAGGTATGGTGTTTGAAAGAGAGGAACATGGGGCTCGGAAAATCGGGGTTCGGAAATAAGGAGGCACGGGAAGTTTGTCAAACATATTGTGCTTGAATGGTTTTCAGGTTGCAGGCCTAACCAGACATTGACCCCTGAAAAACGAGCTTCGGAAATTGGGGTTTGATCAGTTGATTCAGGATGCATTGCTTTTAAATAATGGGGTGCTCAGGCGAGTTTAGACATCTGTTTGCAAATAGGAAACCGACAGATCTGAGGACAAGCCGAGATGCAGGTAGCCATGCAAGTAGGCGGGCGGGCTTTCATTTGGTACGAGCCGACCACTCTTGGTGGGGCCGCTTCTGGGAAAAACCAGTCACAAACTGTCCTCAGTATTTTACCATGGTCAAAGTCACCCCCTAAGTGGTGGGTTAAAGGGAGACAACTCCATTTCTGATTTTGACTTACACCAAAAGCAGAGATTTGGTTTTGGGCCTCCTGCGGAGGATCCTTTTCCGCACTTCGGGTGCACCCCTGGGTGGGAAAGGGCATAAAAAAAATCGACCGGACCGTTCCTGGTGTGGATGATTCGGATTGGTTGGTGTGGGATTGGTGAGTTTGGGATTTCCTTCTCAACTTTGGAGTGGCTCAAGATAAGCGGCTTGATCAAGCTTTTAGTCTCTTGATTAGAGCACTGACCGTAAACACGGACTGTTCAATCAAGTCACATGACCCCGCTTAGAGTCTTACGAACTTTGTGTTGATCGACCATGCCAATACTGCTTTTGGAGGCACGCAGTTTGGGCAACCAACCCACCATGGCAGCGAACTATCCATGGAGTGAGAAAGACTCTGTGAGGGATTGGCACACATACTTGCACCGTAACAGAGATCCTTACATTATACACCTGGCATTGCCTTGTAAATGGTGGTTTCCCCTTATTTTGGTGGACAAAGCCATGTTTCAAATGGGCAAAATGCATCTTTTAAGGAGCCCTGCCTAGTTTACACTGAATGTCTGCTCAATCCGTGCTCCCGTTCTCCTGTGAGCTGTGGTCTGCAAAGGTCACAGTGGCACGATCCGCGTCCTGGCCAGCACTTGCTGCAACCATGCAGACCCAAGGCAAGCAAGCTAAATGGCTGGTCAAAATCTCCTACCCCCGGTGAACATCCCAATCCAACCACTAAAATAGGTTCTAAAATGGGTGGTACACCTACCCCAAAATGGGATCCCAAAACGGTTTTCACCCACAGCCATATACTCAGCTTTCAACTAAGCCCAATTGTATCCGTGTAAACCCCAAACAGGTGCGGACAATGAGCTACGGAGTGCCTTTTTCCCAGTCTAGGTGGAAAGTGCCTGGCAGTGGCACAAACGTCACAGAGCCGATCTGCAGTTTGGTTTACCCATTGCTCCAAACATAGGGAGCAACACACATAGCTGCGCCATCTTGCTGGCAAACGCGCACGTGAGAAAAAAACGCATGTGCCCTGATTCTTACAGCTGTATGTGCCCAGTGTTGTGTGTTACTTTTCTTTCTGAGTGGGGCAGGCCTGATGCCTGGTCGGATGTCAAGTGCGTGGTGTTTGTTTTCCCTTTAAATTTGCATTGACGTATCAAACCCTTCCGCGAAACCTTCCGCGAAGCTTCCGCGATGTGAAGGGCACCTTCCGCGAGCATGTTTCTATATAAGCTTGCATAAGTGCTTCCGCGGGCCTTCCGCAGGCAAGTTGCTTCTGGAAACTTAGGAAGGTAGCTTCCGCGAGGGACTTCGTGTGCACGGTTTGCTAGCAAACGTGCTTGGCAACAACCACCCAATCGACATCAAACTACTATGTGCAACAATGTCCCTTCTGCGAGCTTCCGCGGGAAAAACACCTTCCGCAAACCTTCCGCGAACCTTCCGCGGCTGCAGTGCGCGCTACCTTTTGTGTCGATATGTCAACATCTATACATGTTTGCTTGAGCGGACATAAAAACCGCTACTCAAGTACTTTAATTCCTTGGCTCCTAATTTGCCTTCCAGCAATGCTGCTTGGGAGGGGTGCAATGCAGCGCGATTCACTAGCTGTCCATCGATTTTGGTCTACCCTCTTTCCAGCAACCGTGGAAGTGGACAGGGGGCTTCCCTAAAAGGAATGTAGTTTGCCAAATCCCTCCTGTCAGCCTCCATGATTCTTGTACAGAACAAGTACCCCTTTCATTTCGCGGGTGACGCCAAACCGAAAATATCCGAAAACCTGATCGGTGCCCATCGCAAGTGCTGATGCTTGCCTACCTCTATTTCTCCTTCAAACATCGCCCCAAAAGGAAGCTCACCTCAGGCGATGTCAAAAACCAGGGTGGATGAAACCTAGAGAACATCTCGATGCCATGGCCTTGATGACGTGGAAGTTGGTGACGATGTGCTGCTCGTCCCACAAGAAGCCGCTACCGGTTCCCTGGGGCACCTCCTCCGAGGCCATAGAGAGGCCGCGGGTGCCCATGACCAGGCCCTGCCTCGGATTTCACCCACTCGGAGCCGCCGACTCGCCGGTTCGGCTGGGCCTTTTTCTTATTGCAAACTGGTTTGGCGCCTCTTGAAATAGACATAAATATGTGATCGCAGAGCGTCTGGTGGGCGAAGGTGTTGATGTGAACCACTGCACCGCTGCATCGCTCAAACAAAGCCACCGTCTGGCGCTCCTGAGCCAGCGAAAACGCGGTCCATTTGGATTCGGTGAGTCGTGAGCCATTAGCTCTGGATGGCTCCGGATTCTTCGTTTGTGGAACCGACTTGATCCGAGTGCATGGACTAGCCCAACGCATGGACTAGCCCAACTGGATCACGACCCGCGCGTGTGAATCCCCACAGCTCAAATCTTAGCCGGTGCTTCCGAAAGAACCTCCGAATCGGAGCTTCAAGTGCTGAACCCTCGAAGGGGTGCTTTGGACATGCACCTTGAGTTGGCAGTCGTGCGTGAGGCTGAAGGAATGATGCTCGCAAGACTCGCCTTTCTGAGCAGGCCATGGCTCTCAACCACCCTTTTGGCCATGGGCCAAAAGCCCAATCGTACCCCCAGTGAACATTCCAATCCCCACTAAAATAGGTTCAAAAAAGGGTGGTGAGTTCACCTACCAACCAAGAATGGCTGTGGATCAAAAATGGGTACCCAAAATGGAACCCCGGTAAATGGAACCCATGACTAAAACAGGCGGTCCAATTTCTGGTGGTTTAGTTTTGACCCACAAATGGTAGCATTGGTTTTGACAACCCTCGACCTTCGACCCCCCTGCCTCCTCGGTCAGCTCCTCCTCCGCTCGCGCCGCGCGCGGCGCCACAAGCGCCAGCGCCGCCCCAGCGCCCAGCTGCGCGGCAGCCAGCGCCCGGGGCGGACGCGGCGCGCGCGGCGCGAAGGCTCGGGGCACGGCCCGGAAGGCGCGCCAGAAGCGGCGCATGTTGGTTGACGTTGGAAGGGAAGCAAAATTTAAATTTCGGCAGCTAAGTGGGGATTTCCCACTAAATCACGATAAGCAAAAATGTAAAATGGTTCCCAACAATAGCATGGCGGTTGCGCTGGGAATATCTCAGCTGTAAGTCGTAAGTTGAGACAGTTCCGGCTTGCTTGTTGCATAAGTCTGGTTGTATTGGAAGAGTTGGCACCTGGAAAGTGACACAAAGCAATGCCGCCAAATTCATTGCAAGGTGCCTGCCAGTTGCCGGCTCATTTTTTCTTTCTGATGGCATGTCTAAATGCGCCTAGCATCCAAAAATGGGCTGCCCAGCGACTGCATGCGCTGCAATGTCCTCATTCGACAATCCCTGAAGCTGTCAAGTGTCCAAAGGCACGAGCCAGTGGCTGCATGCACGGGCAAAGCACACATACACAGCAAGCACGTGAGGCTCCAAAGCACACATGCGACACAAGCAAACAGCACACCCGTGCATTGCCAAGCATGATGAAACATCCCTCTGTAGTGACTCCCTTGCCTGCAGTCGGCTGCAAGGGGACCTTAGTGCAGAGAGGACGACACACACGCACACACACACACACACCACACATGGCGCGCTTACACACACAGAGAAGACACAAACATGCACACGCTCACACATGCTCACACACACACACACTCACACATGACACTTGTGCTGTTCTTCAATGCCCATGCTGCACCCACGAGGCCAGAGCAAATGAGAATCCAGGCTGCTGCTCACCTTCAGTTTTCGCTAGTCTCGATCATATCAAGTGCAGAACAGCTGCAGTAGTGACTTGGAGTTGAAACTCTAGCTCATAGGCGAATGAGCTTCATCCACAAATGGGTGGGCTGGCCAAGGGCTGGCCAAGGGCTGGCCATGACAGAGGCCTTCGGAAGGAGCAGCGCAGTCAAGGCTTCCCGAAAGAATGGCAGTGCCAGGTGCCGGAGCAAACCATGGGGTTTAGGGGACACTTTGCACCAAAAGACGGCATGCCCCGTCAAAATGCCAGGTGGCATATTTGTTTCATGCCGGGTTCCGCATCTCGTCCTTGATTGTGCTCATGTGTGCCACTGCGGGGAAACTGGTAGTTCGAGCTCGGCAAACAAGAACATACAGGCTGCTTTGCTTGAATTCATCAGCAGAAACGCATGAGGAAATCACTTCATTGAAGCTCTTGTTTCCTGAGAGCTTGATTCAGTCACAGCCCTCCCACATCCTGGCAGCCCCACTGCGGATGTGGCAGTCCCGGAGACAGCCGAGACAGCCGAGACAGCCGAGACAGGCGAGGCAGCACTGATGTGAGAGCCCTCCTCAGTACGCCACAGGGTCTTGCAATGAAGCCTCGATCCGGCTATTTCATGCGCATTGATCAAGGCTGCCCAAACATTGGATAGGTCCATGTCGAATTCAGCAGGATTTCAGCCCCGCGGGCCCTTCCCTCTCAGCTCGTCGATTCAGGGCCCTGACGCGGAGGGACACCATGGGATCATCCACCCAGCGACGCTCCTTGGAACGCTCATCGCCTGCTTACTTTCGGTGAGCTATGCTACCAACAAACTTGGGGAACCTGAGAACAGGGCAAGCATCAGTGACTCTGCCGACCGTCAATGACTCTGTCTCAGCATTTACAATAAGCTTAGCCTGAAAGGCAGTCTGAGCATCAAGCTTGGTGCGGCTTTGAAGCCTGGCGCAGCCAAGCTGAACATTGGCAACCCGCGAAGACCCATTTTGCGAAGCTTTCAACCGCCTTCCGTTCCCTGTTTCGACCATGTATGCTCGACCATTTTTTTGGGGACCGCGGGCCAGCTCTTAGCATGAGCAGCTTATGGCTGAAGACAAACAGTCCGATCCCCTGCAACCTGAGGGTTTCATAGCGTGGATGGACAAACGCCACTTCGCACCAGTTGGGATTTCCGGTGTATCCACAAGCAGGTTTTATCCATCCCAACGATTGCAGGATTTTGCATCCACAGTTCGAGCGCTTTCCGCACTTTCGGCCAGTTGCCGCCAACGAGACCTCGGTCCCGCCTCCTGAGCCCTGGTACGCGCCAGCGGCGAGAGAGCCTCCGTGCCAATCACGCCCCATCGCATGCCAGCAGGGACCTGCGCGCAAAAACGCGCAAAACTCAGCTCCCCTTCGCTGCTGAGTTGGCCGTGGGTCAAAAGCCCATACCCCCAGTGAACATCCCAATCCCCACTAAAATAGACTAAAATGGGGTGGTGCATTTATTCCAAAACGGTACCATTGGTTTTGACCCACAGCCAGTTGACCCTCTCTCGAGGCTGCCATGAGGGAAACCTGAAGATTCAGTTTGCCGGTTTCCAAGTGCGGAAAGAGGAGGGCCGCTGAACATCGGGGCCGCAATTCCACCCGAGATCTGCGCAGATCCGTGACCCTGCGCTTGTGAAAACATCGGGACCAGCGGCTCGTGTGGCTGGTTCTTGCTCTGCCATCAAAAAAGAGCGATAGGTTCGCCATGTGACTATGCGTCAAACTAGGCTGCGGCTTCCCTTTAGAGTCTCACTTCCTGAGTGGATGGGCCAAAAAAGTCTGAATTTGTTGTTTGCCACCAAAACGGTCTACCCAAAAACTTTCAAGCCCAGAAACTCAGGACGTGAGGGACCTTGCAAAACAACCCCAATAAGGAACCTTTAAACAAATACACGCCCATGAAGCCGGGCTGAATTGCCAAGCGCTCGATTTGTCTGGCCAGCTGTGGAAGCTGCATCTCGATGCAGCTAAGACTTTACCTGCCCTTGCCAGTCATTCCCCCCAAACCAAAACTGCGGTACCTGGCACACAAGGGGATCAACTCTTCTTAAAGTTGTTGTTCAGTTGGGTGGAAGTAAAATGGCACAACTCCCCCATTTTGGTTTAGTCTTTTCCTTGCGTCTACTTTCGATTTTTTACGTCCGATTTTGGCTTAGTCATCCCCATTTTGGTTGAGTCATCGAACATTCATCCGTTTCTCCGCACGGCCTCGGGACTGGGCGATCTGGACCGCACCTGCCGTTTGTGCAGCAACTTGGCTCACTGTCCAAGAAATGGTCCCAGTATGTCCCAGTACTCACAGAAGCCACAGTGGCAACGGGACAAGACTTGAGCTGTTCGACACATTAAATCGGCAAATCTGCGATCCCTCTCCGCCGATCTGCACTTGTCACCCAGACTTCGCGTGCGCGCATGCGCAGGCAGAAAGCAAGCCGATGAAAAGCCAGGTGTGAATGCAAGCCTCGCAGAACGTCAATCCTCAATATGGCAAGCCTCTGCAGCTTGAATTCCAAGGAAAGGACTGCGAGCACCAATGCAGGTTAGAATCTGCTGAAACAACTGAAGAAGCACTCGGGTATCTCACATCCTTAACAGTGCTTGAGCACTCTCAAGTGCAGATTGACAGGCAGCACTGGTCAGCCCTTTGTCTTCTACCTTCGCATTTTTGACAATGGGATGAACTGCGCCAACATGCGTTTGAGACAGTAGCAAAAAAAAAACAAGTGTTTAGTTGTCTCCGCACCACCCACTGCCCCACCAAACCCCGAAACTCACTAAATTTGCAGCATGCGAGATAGAATGCCCATTAATGTAGACGCGATCGTGCAGTAATCTACAGGCATACTACCAAGTAGCAATCCATGCAAATACACAATCACAACCCGCGTTCGACGGTTCCTGCCTGGCTCATGCGGTACATAGGCCTTAGAATGATTTGGCCAGTCAGGAATTGATGAATCCGTCACAAGGGATGAATCAGATCTTGCTTGTGAACTATGGGAAATCACAGGATCTTACGCTGGGATCCATACTCTGCACGCTTCCACTCAACGAGCCGTTACTCTTGCCGGAGTGCCACTTAGATGCTGTCTCGTGCTAATATCAGAGCTTGAAAATCTCACAGCTAGACAAATCCTAACAACATGAAGAGCTCGCCAAAACTGAGGGAACTCCTGACGCTTTGACAGGAGGGACAAATTTAGAATACCCGCAAGCCAAACAGTGCCAGGGATCCTTGGTTGAGTTCCATTTTATTTTGGTGAAGGACTGTGTTGTCCACACTTGTGCCACAAACGATGTCATGAATGGCGTGATATTCGGCGGACAAACGGGTACATGTGCTCTTAATTGCCTCAAGACTTCTTAAGGAGCTGCCAACATCCCAGTGGTTGGTGTGACTCGATCACAAACAGAGCAAACCAGAAGCTCCACAAAGTCTTGAGATTCACACTGCACTTGGAGCCCAAAATATGCATTTGCAAGGATGGCAGCTTGCCATAAGGCATCAAGTCAGTGAATTAGCCTGCCGACAGCATCAGGCAGGCAATTTAATTTGACAGCGCATTGGCACCAATACTGCGAAAGTGTCCTTAATTCAAAAAAACACGTGCATTGGCAACCGGGCATCGCCCAGTCGCTGTGAAAAGGGCCATGCGAATCAGCACGAATCCAGTCCTCAAGGGCTAACAGACCAACTTTTCCACGTAAGAGTCACTGCTAACTGTGAAGAACACAGGAGATCTACCACATTTCAGGCAGCTGGGCATGCCCGCATCTTGCAGCTTCTGCAAGTGAGTGCTACGACCGTTGCAGCAGCGGCTGCTTGCTAACAGTGGATTTCCTCAGGCTCGCAGCGGCTTCACAAGCATGCAGTGCACAAGATTGCCAGCAACAGCATTGCTTGCCAGTTGATGTCGAAGTGACAGTGGGGGGTCAGTGGCTCTGCTGCCATCAGCCCTGAGGTCGTGCTCTGCTTCTGAGTAGTTCATACTTCTCGGTGCTAGAAACAGTGGAGCATGTCCAGGCCTACCATGGCAAGCAGGTCTTGATCACTGTGTTCAGTTGGTGATAAACCTCGAGACCGCATAAGATCGGAGGCAAGCCTTCAACAACTGACTCCACTGACATTTCGACACAAGTTAAAAGGCCCTGGAGGCAAACAAAACATTGAAATCAAGCTATGCTAAAGATGGTGAAGTGAAGGGGCTATTTTTGTGGCACTTGAAGAGAAGTCCCTGTGATATTCTCATGTGGGAACATTCTAGCTCCGCACCCCTCTACTGGCCTTCGTTTTGTTCTCCTCTTCGGAAACGTAGCTTTACCTCCTACCACGATCAGTTACAAAGCTGTCTGAGTGCATCTGAGATGCCGTGCAGCCGCTATCGCGCTGCCTCATGCCAGGGCACAAGCATGAGTGCGTGCTTGCTTTCGCAGCTAGTGGCGGAAAGTATTCTTGGCAAGGATCGCTTCTCCGGCAAAAATCCAGAAAGCACATCAGCACAATCAACAAACACATAAACTATTGACTAGTAGACAAACGCCTGGGGATGCCTTCTGCAAAGCCTGCACAACGCTTGGCTGCGGAGCAGCAAAACTCCGGTATATTTTAATGTGCACAGGGCTGCAATGGTCCATGGTCGATGGCGTTTTCTGCAAACGCCGGCATCGAAATTACCCAACACCGCTGGCAAGTCGTATCCCTCAACTCAACGTGAGATGCTGAGCCAGGCGTCTGACTGCATTTCTCCAGGTACGACAGCTCCTGCCCTTGAACGTCAAGGGTTGCTCCAGCTTCAGCACAATTTCCGCCATGAAGTGCAAAGCATCAGCCTGCAAGGCTGCACATCCACTGGGAAGAAGCAATGGCCAGCCGGCCAGCCATCCCAAACCCTAAGACGAACGCCTCATAGATCTTTGCCACACTACCAATAATTACACGAACGCGCTGCTCGTTTTCTTCGTGCATACTGCGTGGCATCATCTACACGGCAGAGCGTCGGCTCTGCGGTTCCTTGCATGAAGCTTGGCAACCTGCCCCACTCTTGGGACCACAGCCCTTCAAAAGCATAAATGGTCAAATAGAACCCGACTTGCGTGCCCTTCACATCCCAGAGGTTCATTCCCAAGCCCCCAAACAACATCCCAACCTTAGTGATGCACTGTCGTGGCAAAATCGCTAAGGTGGCATCTGTATAGTGTGCTCAGCTGCAAACTGTCGTGGGGAGTTACAGGGAAACACCGCAAATGAACCAAACAAGTCGTTCCCTTTCATAAATGCTCATGTGTTTTTCAAATATCTGCCCAACGACCGTGGTTACAATATGGAGCCTGGTACCTGGCCAGGGAGACATGCGGATGCCCGTCGTTTAGTGGCTGAGCTCTAGACAAACTGACTAGGAGGATTCATATCGCCAGTCATCAGGCTGAATAAACAGCGATGTCTCCTGGGGTGGTTTGTTTGAAGGCCTGAAAGGATATCTGTTTCTCAGGCCGTCGACGAAGGTAAAGGCGACAGCCAACACATACTTGAGCGCACACTTGGTCTATGTCGATGCATCCAAAATTTGTTTGGCCTACCTAGTTGCCTGACGCTCTTCATATTGTGGATGCACGAAATCATGCACCACCTAAGAAACCATGGGAACCATTGTTTGCTGGTATTTACATTGGAATAATCATTCCAGGGTTTTCTAGGTGGTGCAGGGTTTCGTCCATCCACTCTCTCTCTCTCTCTCTCTCTTAGTCGCCTGCGGGGACAGCTTGACATAGACAGCCATCGGCACGTCTCTCCTGATCTTGTGCACGGCGTCCCGGACCCACGTTTTCCTGGGCATCTCTAAAGCGTCCCTACGCGCATACCCTCAAGTGCACAAGAGTGTGGCTTGCGGCCAGCAACAAAAATCACCAACATGCCAGGCAGCTCGCTCAGATTCACCTTGAACTTGTGGTCGATCGTTTTCCGGCACGCGCGCAGAAGGCTCTCATTCCTCAGCGAACTGGACTGACCTATCTTTGTCCGTATTAGTAAACCAGTCTTCTTCGGCCTCGTGGATGAGGGTCAAGGAAAGCTTCCTACGTGCAACGAGGGACCTCTGACTGTATTAATCAATGTCACCTACATGCTTTGAGAAAAGTGAAACGCGATGGCCTTGGTGCTGAGTTTTCGTGACAAGGCCATCCAATGTCCAAGACTGCGGGATGGTGGCAACATGTAACAACAACAGCACGTTGCTGCCCATGATCGCAAGCCAACATGAAACTCAAGACTAAATGTTCAACAGTTCAACTTCTCCTCTGCGGCCAATATTTTTGGACAACATTGATAACAGTGAGAACAACGCAGCAATCAACTGCGGGACTGATTTGTCCAAAGACCAAAGCATCAGGATGAATGCAGCGAGTGCGGGCGTCTCAGGGCCTGTGCCTGCAATTGCTGAGATGCAATCCGGGTGAAACTGGACGTTTCCGCGAGGCTGAAGCCCACTGATTGAATCCGACATTGCCAGTCCCACCCTTCAAACAACATCCAAAGCGTATTGAAAATGGATAGCATATCCATTGTCGGCGCAAGTGATCAGAACCAACTCACAGACGCATGCACGAAGCGCTTCAAGCCAAGCGACTTTCTGCTTCCTGGCGGGCCAATGACAAATGCAGATATTCCCGGAACGGTCAGCTTGCACTGATATTTCCCGAGGTCGTTCTGCAAGTAGTCCACATCCAGCCGGGGCGAATCCCCCTTTTGGACGTGCTGCACCAAGTGCCTGCAGCAATTCGCAGAAAACGGGAAGATCCTAGCAGTTGACCCGACCAAAAATCCCTCTTCGGCGATGCTCGCCCCCCCCCCCTCCCCCGCCCCTCCCCCCTCGCTCCTTCCCCCCCCTCCAACACAAATGTGACAAGTTTCCGCATAACAATGGCGTCTACGCGAACCGGCCTGTAAGCGCAGGCGCCACCGCCGACCTTCAGAACTTTCACAAGGTGCGCCGCAGCTTCCTTCAGGGCCTGGCCAAGTCCACTAGATGGGTAGGGGTCAAAATGAAACCAGGGACCGCAGGTAGTCCTTGGCTCCATTTACCATCCATTTGGGGTACCTATGTTTGACCCACAGCAGATTGGTGAGCAACGACGCCACAAGCCAAATATCAACGCCAAAGGTGGCATGCAAGCATTGTGCGCCAAATCTTGCAGCGGCAGTAAACTTCTCTACCCCTCCTCGTTGCATCAAATTTCACTCTACACACTTTGCTTGTAATGCAAAAGGAAGCGCCCTGAAGAAGCCCCAACCAAGTGGTCTCCCTTCAATCCCTATCCTATACCCAACTGACCCTCAATGGATCAATTTACCCCGCAAGTCAACACTACCGCCCACCCTTAACCATGGCGACAAAAACTGCAATCACTTAAGTATGATTGAAAAACAAAAACAAACATGGACACCAACCAAAAAATAACACCCACGACAAAGCCTCAATCAAAGCAGTACTGAACAACTGCTTACAGCCCTCCGACCCAGAAGCAACCCCTGAATCTACTCGATTCCGGGTTGGTCTGTGCTATGCGTGATACCAGTTGCGAAAAAAAATAGACTGTGGCCAATGGAAGGCTGATGCAAATGTCGTAAGGAGGCGGCGGTGCTGCGCGGAATTTCCGACGCTGGCTTATGGACAAATGCTGATGTGGGCAACATCTGGGCACATGCTGGCGAAATGGGACAACATGACTTCATTCGCTTCCTGATCTCTGATTGGCCGTCATGCACAACACCCAATAATTACTACAGGTCTGTGCTTGCTTGCCGCTGTGTAAGACCGTCTCAATCTCAGTAGTGGCAGTAGTGGTGACAAATGATTCCTCTAAGCACTGAAGCTACATTTCTCAGCATGGAAAAGACAGGCCACAACTTACTCATAGGCCGGATGAA